CTCCTTCTCCCTTCCTCTCTGAAAGCAATATATATATAATTGCTTATATATATATAATACTATTTAATACTATTTTTTCAAAACCATTGAAGAACAGAATTTCCCTGAATCGATCAATACTAAGAACACATAAGGATAGGAGCTGTGCTAAATGGGAAGGGATTGGAAGAGTCATGCCTCTCTCCTGAGAGCATGGTAGCAGACCAGAGTGAGGTAGTAGGGAATGCTTATAGGAGGTGTACTGGTGTGAAAATCTTTACAATGCTAAGACACTTCAGGAAGGTTTAGACGAGTGCATCTCAACATTGACTACATGAAAATCACCCAAAACCCAAGCCACATGCAGACTAAGTTAATGAGAACCTCCAGGATTGGGACCCAGGCAACATTATTTGAAGCATCCTGATTGATTCTGATGTTTGGCTAAGGTTGAGTACCTTTGCTTTATTGTTGTTGTTGTTGTTATTATTATTATTATTATTTTAATCCTCACCAGAGGATATGTTTAGAGAAAGGAGGGGAGGAAGAGAGAGAGAGAGAAACAGAGAAACATTGATTCAAGAAACATCAATCAGTTGTCTCCCATGCCCTGACCGGGTATGTGCCCTGACTGGGAATTGAACCTGCAACCTTTAGATGCATGGGATGACACTCCAACAAAATTAGCCACCTGGCCTGGGTATTTAGCCACCTGGCCTGGGTATTTATTTATTTATTTATTTATTTATTATTTTAGAAGACTGTTGCTTTAGAACCACTGCTTTATTCTCAAAAAAACATGGTGAGGTTGGTGGGAGGTTGGAGGGGTAGGTGTCATTATTTTATTTGTTGTTGTTGTTGTTGTTTATTTTTTAGAAGAAAGGAATGTAGAGGGGTCAGCAATCTCCCAGGTATAAACACCAAGGGCTGGAAATAAGGTCAAAGCTTTGGTGAGAGTAAGGTAAAAAAGGATAGAAAAATAAAGGGAAGAAAAAAAAAGAGGGCTAAGGAAAGAAAAGGAGAGGGGATGGAAAGGCAAGGATTATAGGGAGTGGGCAATGCTGTTACCCAGGATCCCAGGTTGCCCAACCCCTCGAATGGCCCGTCACCCCTCTGCCTGAAACTCTCCTTCAACACCAGCCCATGCTCGCCCGCGTGGATCCCACCAGATGTTGGCGTGGGAAACTCCAGATGGCCTCTTCTCTTGTTTCTGGGATGTTCCCTGGGCCGACCCTGAAGCCCCTCTTTTGCTGCCATTTAAATTTTTTTCAGTTTTTCCCAGGTTGCACCTTGCATACCAATACTACATGGTTATTAAATTATAGGAAGTGATGATAAATGAAAGGGCATATATACTATCCAATGACTGAACAGGCCCCTAACCTTCCTTTTCAAGCCCAGTAACTATGGCTGGTGACCCCTCTTGATAACCAAGCTATTAGATAGTTCTTTGTGGAGGATCAGAATTTGTTTCCCTGAATTTTCACACTTTGGATGTGGTTCAACCAGTTAGAGTCATAGAGAACAAGTGGGCTGTCATGGGAACCTGAGACTTTAATCTTCTCTCATTTGTCTGTTTCAGCCCTTGCTCTCCTGCTGTGTGGTGTACAGCTCGCCCCTCCTGGCCCTGATGCTTTGTCATGCTCCTCTGAATGCATTTAAGTTGAGTTTTATTTCTTTGGATGTGGCCCTAGGACTCCAGAAAGAATTTGAATAGCTTCACTGGGCACTTGTGAAAAGTCCATACCACAGAGCATTAAAGGATAGTTTTAGCAACACCCCATATGCCAGAAACTCTAGCATTGTTACCTTGTCAAACCTTTAGGTGAGAAAATGAACATGAAGGCTTTACCTCTGATATTCTGGAGATCCATTTTGCAGAGGTTACTCGATTCTTTAAGGCTTCTCTTATCTGGATAGTTGATTAAAAAATTAAGAATTAAAAGATAAGAAGTCAATGTTTTGGGGCCTGGCTAATATTGTAGAAGGGGAGTGTGTTACTAGGTCCTGCTGGAGGAATATGGAGGGATTAGTAACTTGGTGAAGTGGTCTGGGAGAAGGTGGGGAGGTAGGAGACATAAGCAAAGTGGAGCTAATATAGGGGATTAATAATCAGGGCCTTGAACATGAACCCAATGGCTAAGAAATACAGTTGGCCACCAGTTTGAGGATTCTTAGCTTTGGGAGTATTTTGGGGGGGAGTACTTGAAGAGTTGAACATTTCCCACATTTTTTCAACTATTTAAACTTCCTTTTTTAGAGGCCCTAACCATGGTTTAAAGGGGGAAAAGGAAGGAATTCTATACAACACAGCAAAGACCTGTGGAACCAAGAAAATAAGAATAATAAATAACAATTATATTTTGCTTTATAATTTTAAAGTGCTTTTCACACCTGCCATCTCATTTTATCCAAGAAATAATCCTGTAAGATAGGTACAATTGGGGAAATGAATACTCCGAGATCATGTAGCACGCAGTCAGTCAACTATTAAGACACAGAGCAGTGGGAGTTGAGTCCCCTGACTTCAGATCATCCTGTCCTTTCCCTAACTCTCTCCTACTGCACAAGGCAATCTATTGTTATTTCTACTCCCTCTCTCCTTTTGCTATATAAAGTGTTACTCACCTTCCAAGGCCTGGTAGAAGTTTTGTCTTCACAGTTTATATGTACCAAAGCCCTCTAGCTCAGACTGACTTCATCCTGCCCTGAAAATGTAGTGTTTTTGTCAAATACGGGCTCCAAAGATGTAAGAGCATTGCCCGGGCTGGGAGTCCATGTATTCAAAGTCCATTGCAGTATGTAAAGACATACTGGAGCCTCTAGTATTTCTTTTCTCTTGTCTGTTTTCAATTCTATGTTTCATAATGTGTATAATACATACCTTGTAAATTAATAATAAGCACATTTGGGGATATGTGCTCACTGGTTTTTACAGATTCTAAAAGTGTAAAGACTACAGTATGTACAGTATGTATAGTATGTACAGTAGTGCCCTCTTACTGTGGTTTTGCTTTCCGTAGTTTCAGTCACCCACAGTCAACAAATGTCCAAAAATATTAAATGAAAAATTCCAGAAATAAAAAAAAATTATTCCTTTTAAATTGTGGGTTGTTCTGAGTAGTGTAATGAAGTCTCCTGCCACTCTGCTCCATCCGCCTGGGATGTGAATCATCCCTTTGTCCAGTGTCTCTGTGCTGTATACACTATCTACCCGTTAGTTACTTAATCATGTCGGTCATCAGATTGACTGTCACAGTATCACAGTGCTTGTGTTCAAGTAAGCAGTATTTTACTTAATAATAGCCCCAAGAGGCAAGAGCAGCAATGCTGGTGATTCAGATATGTCAAAGAGAGCCATAAGTGTTTCCTTTAAGTGAAAAGGTGAGTATACTATAATAAGGTAGTTAAAATAAAATAAAAAGATTAAATGAGTTCATAAGGGAAGGGACCTAATCCAGTAGGACAGTGTCCTTATAAGAAGAAGACACACCAGGGATGCGTGCCAGAGGAAAGACCATGTGCAGACACAGCAAGAAGGCAGCTCTCTGCAAACCAAGGGGAGAGTCCTCAAGAGAAACCAAACCTGTCAACACCTTGATCTCAAAATTCCTGTCTCCAGAGCTGGAAGATTGACACAGGTGCCCTGTGGTCTGTAATCAGCTTCCTGTCTCCCTTTCATAGTTATAAGGAAAAATAAAATAATTTGTGTTCAATAAGTAGAATGTATTGAGATTAAAAGTATGCCCTTTAAGGCCAAACAGACCCATATTTTAAAAAAGAAAGAAAGAAAGAAAGAGAAAGGAAGGAAGGAAGGAAGGAAGGAAGGAAGGAAGGAAGGAAGGAAGGAAGGAAGATATTACATAACTTTCATTACAGTATCCTATATAATAAAAGCCTGATATACTAAGTGTCCGACCTTTCAGCCATTCAACCAGTCACTATGATGCACACTGAACACCAGGGGGCAGACGCTCTGATTGGTAGGTTGGCTTGATGCTGGGGTCCAGCCGATCTGGACTGGGCAAGATGGGCTGAACACACCCTGGAGCCCTCCTGCAATCCCTCCCCGGCCCAGATAGTGCACCGGTGGGGTCCCTCGGCCTGGTCTGTGCCCTCTCACAATCCAGGACCCCTTGGGGGATGCCAGAAAGCCAGTTTCAGCCCTATCCCTGCAGGCAAGGCTGAGGGACCCCACTGGTGCACGAATCCATGCACCGGGCCTCTAGTACTGTTATAATTGTTCTATTTTATTATTAGTTATTATTGTTAATCTCTTACTGTGCCTAATTTATAAATTAAACTTTATCATAAATCAAAATAAATATGTACATGTAGGAGAAAAACAGACTATAAATAGGAATACTAGTAGATATTATCCATGGTTTCACAAATCCACTGGGGATCTTGAAAAGTATTCCCCATTAATATGGGGGGACTACTGTATAACTTTTTGTCAATTAATTATAACACCTTTCAATATTTACCTTTTACATTATAATTTTAAAGATATGAGGTTTTGCTCTTGATGGATGCTTAGAGGTTTTTGCACACCTCATAACACCTAATACAGATCCACTAATAATAATGTTACTGATGCTCTGGCTACAAATACTAGTTGTGGCTTTAGACTAATTAAAAAACATAATAATATGATATACAGCTACATAACTTCAGTGCTTTCTATGTGTTTTCCCTTGCAAAATTGCTTTTGTTCTTTATCATAATTTAGCAGGAAAGGCAGGGAAAGCATCATTACTTCTGCATTCCCTTTCAGGATTCTGAGGTGCAGGAGAGTTAAAAAAACTTCTCAATTACAAGCAACTAATACAAACAAATATCAAGATTAATAGACAAATAGTCAAACTTTCATCTCTGAATATCAGGTTATGGTACCCTCATGAGAAAATGAAAGGACCATTGTGAACTGCCTTTTTTTTCTTTTTTACAAACCTTGCATATTAACTTTAGTAGAATAGCATTGATAATATAATTAATCAGTTAATTAATTAAACAGTAAATAATAAACCCTGCAGTAAAGGTGTTTGCATCTACATCTGAAAGGTTTATTTGCTTTTCTCATTTCAAGAAACAGTATAGTACAATGGAAAAAGGGTGCTTTCAGAAGCCTAAACAAATATTTGGTGTTTTGTTCATTTGTTTAGGTTTTATTTATTTTCACCACCCACTACATATACATTCTCTGTACTAGGAGAATTCCCTTCCTTGAATCCATTGCTCTCCAAGGTAGAAGACATGAACTCACTTTCTCAGCCTCCCTTGCAGCTAAGATGCAGCCATGTGACCTGGGCTCAGCCAATCAGACCTGACAACTTAAAAAGCAGGTGCCAGTGGCCCTCAGTAGGCAGGATGGAGGTGATCCCTGAAACAGCAGTAGCATCAACTCTAGTTCAGCATCCAAGTCTGACATTGGCTTGGTGAGCTGTGCTTCTGTGTCCAGCAAAGTATGGAAAGGGTTGCATGTGGAGCAGTTCTGTGCTATGAATTGGGGACTATTCCTGGTATATAGCCCCCATGTCTCCAAGCCAAAGAGATATCTTCCCAAAGATGATATTGTGAGATTTAATACATTCCTTTCTGCTTCAACGAGTTAGAGTGAGTTTCTGAAGCAAGCTACTTAATCACTCTGAGACTGTTTCCTCATCCATAAAACTGAAAATAGAAATACTCAAGATTGTTTTAAGGATTAGAGCTAATTACATAATATACTTAGCCCCATAAGAGCTTGAAAGATGGCTGATATTACTTGCATCATAAAGAGCAGTGATGTCCTATTCAAGTGTCTGTACAAATAATTGAGATGAAAGACCCTGAATAGGTGGGCTTTACAAATGAGCATTTCAGGGCCAAGTATTGTTAATGCAGAAAACCAAACCAAACCAAAACAAAAACAAAACAAAACAAGAAGAATTAATGGTACCTTTGGATCCAGGATTGTTCCAAACACCAAGATGAAGAAGCCCTGAAAAAGAGAGAAGAGTGAAGAAGAGCAATTTACAAAGTAATGTTGATAATAACAAGAAATACCAGCATTCATTATCAATTCCTATTCTGAAACTGATAAAACTAATTAAAAAACAAAATAAAACAAAAATGCAGACCATATGATTTAATGTGTAACTCATTTTAAGGTCACAATACCTAGATTCTTCCGCTCAACAAATATTAATAGAGTGTCTTCCACGTGCCAGCCATGTTCTAGATACTTGGGGTACCTCAGAAAACCTAACAGACCAAGGTCCCTAATTCATATAAGCATATTATAAGAATTTATTTTTAATTTGGGCAAAATAAAGTGTTTTGCATTTATCAGGAGCTGTGCATCTCAACAAAATACAATGGTTCAAGCAATAGCCAGGAGATGTTAGGCAATGGATGGCAGCCTTCCAATCCCTGAATAATTAGTAATGAAAGAAATTTCCACAGAAATAAATAAATAAAAAGCATCCATGCTCAGCTTTATTTAACACCCTCAACCTCCTTCCCCCATCCACAACTAAAAAACTGTTATAAAATTTGCAAAGAAAAATTAGGTACATGGATCATCAGAAAAACCAAGACCCCAAACAGATTGAGTTTCTAAGCACATAATGGGTGCCCATAAAAAAGTGATCCAAATATAATATAGAGGGAATTAATAAGCTCTCATAATCTCATCATCCATAAAAAATATAATGATGGAGGCTGTTCCTCCATCGTTATAGTCCATTTGGGTTTCAATCTTTTTTCATATGTAGCGGTACAAAACCACCTGGAAAGAAGGAAAAGTATTCATCCTATTTTGCTGATAAGGGAAGGGAAGCTCAGAGACTCAACTTTGAAAATGTGATAGACAGCAATATTGATTAGACAATTTCTCTTAAAAGTGTGAATACTCAGCTCTTTGCTCATCTGAGAAGAGAAATAAGATAATGACCTTTGATTTAGGCATCCTTATTAAGTTGCTCTGATTGCATAATCAAATGTGAACCCTTACCCAGGCAGAGGCCTGTCGAGGCACATGGGTGAAATACAAAATAATAAAGATGTTATAACCAGGTGGTCATCAGCAGGGACGATACCAAACCCACTGCTGCCATGATTTGCAAAAGCTTAGCTGAGAGGTGGAGGACTTCACAGGGACCAGTGCCTGGATGGCCATGCAGCTAATCCATTCCTCCAAACATACTAACTATACGTCTCCATTCAGCCAGTCCAGCAAGTGCTCCAAGCTTGGAGCGCTTCTCTTAGATTGCTCTTTTGTCTGACACTCTTAGCTGTCCATCTATAAACCAGGAAGTAGGTTCTCACCAGACACCGAATCTGCTTATCCCTTGATCTTGGACCCCCTAGCTTCCAGAACTTTGAGAAATAAATTTCTGTTGTTCATAAGCCACCCAGTGTTATATGGGTCTGCAAATCTTACCCAGCCCACAATTACTCTCAGTAAATACAAGAGAAGATACCAACTAGAAATGGTACCTTGACCAAGTAGCATTCAATGCAGCAACTGTACAGGGTGGGGCAAAAGTGGGTTTACAGTTATTCATATAGAACACAATACAATCGTTAATAAGTGATAATATAAGGACAAATTCTTTGTTTCAAGTACTCAGCTATAAACTGGCGTTTGCCCCCACCATGTATAATCATCCTTCCCTAGTAAAGGGGGTGGTTGAGCTTAAAAACTAATGGGTATGCTCCCACAAGCCTAGGACCAGGAAGCATTCAAAGAGCCTTTCTCCTACACCTCTGGATCTTCTGGGATATTTATGATCTTTCTTCTTCGCTTGCTCCATCAGCCTCAGGTGCTCCTCATCTCAGTTCATCCTAACACTCTGCTTGTCCCACTTCTTCCTGCTCAGTAGTTTCTGTCTTTCACCTCTCTGGACCTGTGGCTCTCCTTCTCTCCTCCCAAGGATACCTTGATCCACATGGCTCCCACCATGGTTGTTTCAAATCTAGCAACATGACATCGCTGACTATGGAGTCAGGAAGAGATGGGCACATCCATTCTCTCAGTATTTCCACCAGACAGATACAGCAGATTCAAATAATCTCACGAGCATAGTAGAATGTAGGAATGTAGGAAAAACAATTAGGAAGGGATGCATTTTGAGGATGTTTGACCTTCCATTTGAATCTAATTTATTTAATTGTAATTCTACAGAATTTAATGATGTCTGTGCTTACACCACCTTGAAAATTTGTTGAAAATACAGTAGTTAGCTCTCCTGAGCCAGTACAAGCCAGCTCCAGAACACCACTGCCTCATGCCTGCCCTGGAGTCTGGCCTTGACCCAAACCCTGCTCTCAGCTTCTCACTGGCCCATCGGTATTGGTACTTAGATGGGCCCCACCCTTCTCCTTGCCAGGTATCAAGGCAGAAACTGAGTTTAAATTACAAACTGAGTTGATCCTATTATGACAGGGAAAAATACAAGTGCTCACAGGCTATTACAAAATGAAAACCACAGTCAAGATGGCCCAAGGGAGACAAGGAAGGAAAATGTGAGGACTAAGACATGAACTCATTAAGTCCATGACAAATAGCCACTGGATATGCTGAACAGAAATTTAGGAACGTTAGGTTTTTATCCCAGTTCTATCAGTGATGAGCTGCATAAACATGGGTAAGGGATTGATAATTATTAAGAGCGATACAAAAAGTGTAGGGTATAATTAATATATTCTATAGAAACGCACAAAAGCAACAATGTTAGCATTGTTCTCTAAGACATTAAAATGTCTATTATAAATAAAATCATGTATATTTAAATTTTGAAAGAGAAATATGAAAAAATATTTGACATAAAATCTCTGTTATTTTTAAATAAAGAAACATTCAGGAAAATAAATATTTTAGAAGTCTATAAGAATAAAAGCTTTCTTTTTAATTTTACATATTTCTTTCTGTTTACATATTTAGCATTCAATATAATAAACTTTGACTCATTAGTGCACTGTGACAGAAAAAAATGAAACAAATTTCATTCAAGAAGGGAATTGTTGAATGTTGAGTAATATCCATCCATTAAAGAGGCATAGCCTGGCAAATGCTCGGATGTATTTTTAAGTGGTAGAGTAAGTTTCAAAATATTATGCATTGTTTTTTAACTCTTATATTATGTGAAAACATGCTTATATGTGAGTATAGAAACTTTGGCAAGGATGTACATGAAACTGCGAACATTTTTTAATTCACAGAGGTAAGGTAAGAGAGGAAAGGACAGGGAAAATTATCTTTAATACCATTAAGATGATTTCCAGTCATAACTAAACATTTTAAATGGAATAAAATATAAATATGCATATGTAAATACTCCCAGTTATATAACTAGATTTGGGGGAAGTGGTATTGTTTCATTTCTAAACTACTTAAAACTCGGCCTATTGTTAGGCTACTTGGTCTTGTCCCATTCACTATTTTATTTCATTTTCCTAAAACTACTATAAAGTGAGCAGATTGTACTCATTTAATAAGTGAGAAAAATATGGCTTGGAAAAGTTAAGCAAATATCCCAGGAGAATGTTACACATTAGCAAATGAGAGAGTCAAGATTTGAATTCAGGCCTTTCTGAAACAAAAGTTTATTTCCTGACTCAATAGGCTATTCTAAATCCACTGTCTTTTATAAATAAATATGATGGCACATCCTCCAGATCACAAAACTTCTTTCCAAATTCTCTCCCTTTGGACTTGGTCAGAAGCGTCTGGACTTACCTGGAAAGCATTAAGCAAGGAGAAGAGAATGTGGAAGAACAGGGAGCTATCGTCGACGACTGTGGCTATTCCGAATCCCCAGGTCAGGCCCAGCAGTGGTGTGAGGATGGCGATGTTCTTACTGATTCTCACGATGGCTCTCACCTCCTGGAACATGGAACTGCCAATGGTAGCTCGCCGGGTTTTGACAATCACCAGTGTCACCGTGATCAGGTTTACTACCACAATGGCCAGCGCTGGGACCACAAAGGCCAGGAGGGCCTTGGTCATGTCCCAGTTGAGCCAGCAGGCCTCAGGCCGTAGGTAGCCTTTGCCAGGCTCAGTGGCAGCAACTGTAACAACAGCAATGACCAAAGGGCAACCGTATCCCACGGAAAAGAGAGATGCCACCAGGACTGACTTGGGCAGTGTATGGAAAACAATCAGGATTCCATAGAGGATAAGAAGTGCCTTAGCGAGCATCCAGAAAAACACAGAAAGGTAGAAGAAATGAACAAAAAACGTCGCTGCCACACATCCATTGTGGTGTGTCCTTGGACCACTAAGAAAGGAAGCCACGATGAACCACACATCAGCCATCAGCAAGGTAGCTGCGACGTTGGCAATACACAAGTGGCGTAAATAGGAGATCTCTGTCTTCGTCACTCGGCTCCAGACCAAGGCCTCGATGGACAAGCAAAGGATCAAGCTGCAAATGGAAACGCCCAGGCCTATGTACGTGATGTAAGTCAGGATGGGACTCTGCAAGGTGTGTGGTGACATAAGAATGGAGAAGGAGGTAAACAACTTGCTTGGCCTACATTTGCAAACAGCTTGCTGGGAGGTTTCCTGAATCATTTGGCAGGCGTGCTGGTCCCATCTGCTCTCTGACGAGTGCCAGCCAACACACTGTGTCCTGCTGTCCTCTGAATTCCTGATCTTTTCAAAAACCAGTGAGATCCTTTTAAGTTCCTTGGGCAGAATGACAGACAGGACAAGTCCGTTCACGATGACCTTTTCCAGAAGACTGGCTTCTAAGATGGCTCCAAGGGTTGGAAATGCAATGCTGACAACCTGAGAAGGAGAGCGCACCTTCTGGGCTTCATCTCTGCTGATCAACACCCTCCCAGTGACACTATTGCGGGTGTCGTTAACTCTCATGGAGAAAGTTAAATTCTTTCCATTGTTATCTCCAGATATGAAGGTGCACATAGTATGAATAAACGCATCCGCTATGTCAATGGGATATTTATTTATGAGTAGTTTTCTTGCAAAGCTATTGACTGAGTGCAGCAGCACACAGCTGCTGTTTTTCTCAGGGATGAAGGTCCAGTTGGAGATGCTTTTGCTATCAAGAATGTGGTTGGCCATGATGCTGTAACTCTGTCAATGAAGAACGGGCATTAGTATTGAGCTAATGTCTGAATCTGCCAGGACATTCAAGTTTCATTTAAAAAAAACACTTTACTGTTGAAAGTATTACATATGTCCCCCTCCTTCCCCCATTGACCCCTTTTAGCCCATCTCCACCCCACCCTAGGCCTTCACCACACTATTGTCTGTATCCATGGCTTATGCATATATGCATATAAGTTCTTTGGTTGATCTCTGCCCATCTGCCCACCCACCCTCTCCCGCCTTTCCTCTGAGATTCCATAATCTGTTCTATGCTTCTATGTCTCTGGATCTATTTTGTTCATTAGTTTATTAGATTCCACATATGAGTGAGATCATGTGGTATTTGTCTTTCTCTGACTGGGTTATTTCACTTAGCGTAATGCTCTCCAGGTTCCTCCATGCTGTCTCAAAGGATAAGAGATCCTTCTTTTTACTGTTTCATGGTATTCCGTGGTATAAATGTACCACAGCTTTTTTATCCACTCATCTACTGATGGGCACAGATAACATAAATGGTATAATGTCTTAAGTATCTTCCTTGAGGCACTGGGCTGTTTCCAGATCTTAGCTTTTGTAAATTGCATTGTTATGAACATAAGGGTGCATATATTCACTGGGTCAAATGCAGTCCCATATTTAATTTTCACTTTTATAAAGCGTCCTTCAACCAATAACATAGGCATGCCCTGGGAACCTCTTAAAGATACAGAATCTCAGACCCTACTCCAAACCCTGTGAATCAGAATGAGCACCTTAATGAGATCCCCAGGTGACTCACATGCCGCTCAGGTTTGTGTTGGAGGATAGAGCTACCAGGGAGCTGCCCTCCCCCTGCTCATGTGATGCCTTCCTGTGAGGCAGGCAAATGGGCAGCCTTCACCATGTTCATTTCCATCATCTGTTCCACTTCACACCTGGGTGACACTAGCAATTTGCCTGCCCTGCCCAGAGCATCCACTATGTAATTAATATCTATTAAACCCCAACTGTGTGCAGGGCATTGTATAGGAACATGACACATTGGAAGCTGACCCCAGAGGCTGGACCTCCTTTTTCTTACCCTCTACTTTGAAGGTCAGACACAAAGGAAGCATGTCCAATTCCATTTCACATTTCTGCAGCAGACCTATCTGGCTGTTTTTTGGACACCCAGTTGTTGTTGTTTTCCATTTGAGCAACCTGTTCTGATTCACAAATAAATGTCTTCCTCTCTGCAGGACCTAGAATGGTTCTTGGAGATTCACAGTAGCCAAAATATACATGGAAAAAGCTTGCTTCAATGTCCATCCAGCACCTGGTAAGTGCTCTCTTTAAATGCTTGTTGATTGAATGTATTCACTTTTTCCATTCATTTTTTTCTTCAATGAGGATTTATTTTAAACATTTACCAGGTGATGGAAATACTGAAGTTAACGACACGGTCTCCTCAGACCCTCAAAAGCTCCAACTAAACCTGCATTCCTTTCCCATTCCCCCCTTTTCCCCCCAAAAAACCCCACAAATGTTCAAGGCCACTCACCTTCATCTTTGCTTCATCCACATCTGTCGAGAGCATTGTCGATATGTTGTGTAGTAGCTGCACGATGACAGCGATGTTTCCTGGTATCTGGGGAGAACGCTGAATGTTCTTAACAACACAGGACAAATCCTGCGGACACTTCCGCATCAACTTATCTGCAATGGTCTCGGACTTTCCAGAATATTCATTTATGTGTATGCTACTTCCAAATGATGGACCTGTATTTAAATCCTCCTAAGAAATGGCAAAAGGAGAGTTTGTTACTTTTGTTTTCAATGTAAAAGAACCTTTACTACAATGTAGGACAGCCTTATTACACAATTGTATATTGCATAATGCTTTTCTATTTTACATTGTCAAGGTCACATCTGCTGTGGAACCACCTGCCCAACACCAAGGTGTATGAACAGCTGCCTACTCCTGAACCCCCTATATCCAAACAGCAATTGTTATCCTTAGCACATCCCTCCACACCCCTTCTGTGTACATATACTGTGCACATGGGTACATTTCTCCTGCCATTAAACTTACTTTTCATTCTTCCCAAGGGCAAAGCATAAGACATAAACATATTTTTTAAAAAATAGAACTTTCTAACTAGATTTGAATGAATCAACTGAACACCAAGAGAGAAGAATGACTAAAAATAGTGATAGACAGCATTTCCCCACAGATTGGGCTCTGGGTCCCACACTTTAAAGCAGGGGTAGCAAACTATAGCGGCAAGTTTGCCGTCTGTTTTTTGTCAATGAAGTTTTGTTGGGACTCAGCTTGCTCATTCACTAGGCTGCTTTCTTGCTACCATAGCAGAGTTGAGTAGTTGCAACAGAGACCATAATATCTACAATGCCGAAAGTATTTACTATCTGGCTCTTTACAGAACAGAATTGCCAAATTGCCAAACCTTACTTTAACAGAACCCTTTCTCCAGGCTTCCCCTTCAGAAGGACAAGGAATCCATGGCCTAGAGCAGAGGTTGGCAAACTCATTAGTCAACAGAGCCAAATATCAACAGTACAACAATTGAAATTTCTTTTGAGAGCCAAATTTTTTAAACTTAAACTATATAGGTAGATACATTGTTATTAACTTAATTAGGGTACTCCTAAGGCTTAGGAAGAGCCACATTCAAGAGGCCAAAGAGCCGCATGTGTCTCGCGAGCTGCAGTTTGCCGACTACTGGCTGAGAGGATGGGCCTACACAGAACCCATGTCCCTGCTTCCAGACACCTGATTATTCTACATGACAACAGCAAGCCCATTTGCAGGGCCTTCCCAAAGTCTGTGCTGCCACAGATGGACCAGGCCACCTGTAGGCCTGAGATGTGTCAAAGGGACACCTCTGTTCAGGCTTATGGATGTGTGGCCTTGGCCTTCTACGACCCATGAGGTGCAGGATGGAATTTAGAATGGGAGGCTGACAGAATCTGTTTTATTTAGTGGTTTGTAGACTTGATTGAAAGCATTTAAATATTAAGACATATGGAATGTGGGTCTCCATGTGTACTTTGCCTAGATCCTTCAAATCAGGGATGGGCAGCTTTTTGAAGTCTGGTAGGGGAACTTCAGGTATAGCATCCACTGCCTCCCCCAGCCATGCCCCAAACAGGAGGTGGGAATGTTGCCAGAACACAAGAGAGGCCAAAGCTCCTGAGCGAATCAGGAGCTGACCTTCAGAAAGGTAACGCTCCTGATAGAAGAGGAGAAAAGGAAACAAAGGAAGAAGAAATGCCAGTTGACCTGATTTTATTTACTAGAATTTAACTTTTTAAAATATGTAACAACTTAAGTATATGTGGAAATATGTTCCTTTGTTTGACAACAAAGTCCTTTCCTCCAGGTTCAGCTCTCTTCTTGTGCTTTACTGAGCACTGGGGTCACATGGAGATCTTGGTAAAATGCAGGTTCAGATTCAGCAGGTCTGGATGGGGCCCAATTGCCCGGTGTCTGAAAGTTCTCAGAGATGCCCTGTGCTGCCGGTCAGTGAAGGACACATTGAGTAGCTGGGCTTTGGGGTATTAAAGAGCTGAGTGAACTGTGGAGAAGTAAACTGTGATAGTTCTAGACCAGCCGTGGGCAAACTACGGCCCGCGGGCCGGATCCGGCCCGTTTGAAATGAATAAAACTAAAAAAAAAAAAAAGACCGTACCCTTTTATGTAATGATGTTTACTTTGAATTTATATTAGTTCACACAAACACTCCATCCATGCTTTTGTTCCGGCCCTCCAGTTCAGTTTAAGAACCCATTGTGGCCCTCGAGTCAAAAAGTTTGCCCACCCTTGTTCTAGACAGCTCTTCTAGCTCTGGCCTTAGCGATCTGGTGCCTTTGTGTCATGGAAGGTGTGGGAGACATGAGAACAGACTTTTAGGTGCCCAAAGTTAGGAATGCCATTCCAGTATATATAGAGAGAACAGGTAGATGTTTACGTATTCAGCTACAAGCACCTCTACTTACCACCCTGTCCCTCTCTCTTACTGAGTGCAACATGCATTGCTAATTTGAGGCTCCACTTTGCATGTGAGAGAAAATATATTATTACCTCAAAGATGTTGATGGCGGTAAGAGTCTGGCAGGTATCAGTGATCTTGTGCCATTTATTTCGCCTACATAAAAACCCCATATTTCCCGGAGTATCTGGAGGGCAAGGTTGACTGCAATGAGAATTGTCCACACAGACCCCATCACATGCACCTGGGAAGATAAAAGGCATCAGCATCAGATGGAGAGATATGGACTCAGGGACAAGGTGTCATCACATGAAGGCGCATAAATCCTGTTGCCTTGGTAAAGTGGAGGAAGATTGAAGTATATCAGTGACCATCATATCCAGGGTGTCCCCCCAAAATGTATACACACTGTGATAGCTGTTACCTCAATTTTGAAAATGAAATGTATTTTAATAAACACACTGCCTTTATAATTATTCAAAGTATGTGTCTACTTTCTTTGGGACACACTATATTTCAGTGACAAACTACTATTATTTCCAACAAAATCTTATCCTGAACTCAAATGCAGAAAATAGCCTGGCTGGTGTGGCTCGGTTGGTTGAGCGTCATCCCATGCACCAGGAGGTTGCTGGTTCCATTCTCTGTCAGAGCACATACCCAGGTTGCAGGCTCGGTCCCCTGTAGGGGGTGTGCAGAAGGCAGCTGATCAATATTTCTCTCTCATCGATGTCTCTCTTTCTCTCTCCCTCTCCTTTCCTCTCTCTGAAATCAATAAAAACATGTTTCAAAACAAATAGTTAAAAATGTGACTGGCCCAGTGAGAGGGAAGAGTCCCTGGGTCAGTCCCAGGTCCCTCACACCTCCCAGGAACACCCTGAGCACCTCCTCAGGCCCCTCCAGGAGGAGACAGTTTGGAAGCCTCTGTAACTGATGTTCTCTAAGAAACCTCCCAACTCTGGAACTTTATAATCAGTTACGTCATCAATGGGTTCTCCCAGACCTCTGCTAGCCACTGCCCCAGTCTGAGTTGGCTCAATCTAAAGGATTTATAGTAAATAACTCTAAGACCAGGATGGATCAGAGGGTACTGGCAAGAGAGGGAAGTAGAGGTCAAAGGTAGATTTTAATGTGAGAAATATAAAAAGGAAGTCCCAGTGCAAACCATCAGGGAGTCCCATCTGCTAGGCCATAAGACAGGGCCAAGGATGGCCCTCTATTATAACAGATGGACAGTAAAACTTTCATTTCATTAGTAATTGCTACCAACATACCGTGTGGCTTGGCAGACACTTTCTCCTTGCTTTTGCTGGCAGCCTAGGGAGGGAAAATCAAAATTCACATCAAAATCAATTGGTGAGAAGCCAACCCAATGATTCACTTTAGTCACAGGCCAACGACCACATCTTCATCAGCTGTGACACCAGGATGCCACCAAAAGCTGAGACCATGACATGTGGCCCATGACCCCATCTGCCCTTTAGCCTGGATTGCTATCTCTCCCATGGCTCTTCAGTAGGATCCTTTGTTCCGCTCCGGTAAGGATGAGCTACATTCTACCCAGGAGCATCATGAGCAGAGGTGGATTTACTGGGAAGTTAATGAAGGTTAAGCTTCAGAATTCATTGCCTGTATGGGCCCCTTTGAAGCACTGAGAGAGGGTCTAGCAATGGGCTCACATGCTCCTATGTTTTATTACATTGTCAAAAGCAACACTGTTTAACCAGCATCTGCTCAGACCATTACTTTTTGCCACTCCAAATTCCCCATTTATATTCCCCCATTTTGGACAGCACTAGAGAGGTCGCACCTATTTATGGAATCTGGACAAGTAGAAGTGAGTGGGGATACATTTAGCCTGGACTTAATAGTACCTCTATAGTTTGCAGCCATTTCTGCATTACAATGAGAACATCAACACATAAGTGGCTTTAATTCTAGGTAGAAGTACTTACAATTAGTCACAGAATAAGCAAGTTCTAAGAGCCCTGAAACCCTGTAGGTCATATACGAAAGACACTTGCTAGAGGTTTCCCCAAAGTTCACAATAGTTCTACATATTTACATGGCATTACTAATAATGAATCCAGAAACTAAAAGCTATTTTTCTAAACTAGAATAACAAAGTTAATCAGCAATGCTAGACTGAATAATCTATCCTCTCTATAGAAAAAAATATATAAAATTATTGATATGCACATATGCAGCCAAAAATTTGGAACAAAAATATGGGTGGAACCTTAATAAAAAATATTGTTATTTTATTGAATTTATTCCTGAATAATGCTGAGTAATTATTCTAAATTTAAAGTCTGTTATGATTCTTTTTCTCATTCTAATTAAATATTCACTTTTCCCTAAATTTTGTATTTGTCATTTTATGTGCTAGGGAGTGGTTCCCACAAAACCTGGCTTCCTCCTACCATGAGCATTCCCACCTCTCCTGATTAGAAGCCCTTCCTTTCTCATCCATTTGTAGATACTGTACCCTTCACTGAGCAGCAGTGTCATTTTGTGGTCAATGGGTGACTCTGGGAACAGAACATTGGGTTCACATCCCAACACGGCCACTTGAGGTCCTGAGAAAGTTCATCTCTCTGAGCCTCACTTTCCTCACCCATAAAGCAGGGTAGGAATTACAGTATGACAATTTCATAATCTTGCCTCAGATGATTTTTATGAAGACTAAATGAGAGCATGTAAGAAAGGCACTTAGAATTAGGCCTTCAATGTTGTAAGTAGTATTTAAGATTTAGCTATCATTATTATCCTCTGAAAATGGACTTAGGGAATGGCTATTACATGAAGCTCAAGTTTGCCTCCTCTAAGAAGTCTTTCTCGATCTAGTTCTAGATAGTACATCACTTCCTCTCTTGCTCCTATAAAATTTATTATCTATACTAGCATACCACTCATTCAATACTTGGCACCTACTCACCTGACCTGTTGTAATACTATCTAATCATTTTTATATACGCTTATTATTTTCTAAATTAAATTATAAGTTCCTTAAGAACATAGCATGGGTTGTTAATTGTGCTTCACATCCTCCTAAGTAGCTAGATCAGTACATATAAATATACACACATATTAGTATGTCTGAATATACTGGCATATATTTACATGTATGTCTGTGTGTTTGGAGAATAAGTCTAAAAATTCCTGTTTCTTGACCAGAAGTTTTCCCTCTAGGGCCTGGAAAGAGCCCTGGTACAATTACTCCAACCTGCATTCCTAGATCTCAACCATTGGGAAGGAACTGGAAATAAAATGACTTAGCTGTGTGACTAACACTTGGAGTTCATATCCCTTTCTTCTTCACAACATTATTTCTCTCTATGATATCAAAAAACAAAGCTGAATCTTATGTTTTCTCTACCAAATGAGAATTTATGGAGACTCTGAATTGAGCATTTCAGGTCTGTCCAAAGTGAGGAAGGTATCTCTGATTCATGGGATACAAATCCTTCAAAATACTTATGTAAGATGAATTCTCATTTCACAATCAAGAGAAAGCTTTAGTATATACATGGAGGAGCTAAAGGCCTTCCACTAAACAAGAACACTAAAATAATATTTTTGGAGTTTTGAAAGATCTTATCGATCAACCAGTCCAACACCCTTATTGTAGAGATAAGGAAAGTGAGTCTTTGATAGATGAGGTTACTTGCACAAGGCTATCTAGGGCAATCCTCCTAGAACTGGGACTAGAACTCGGTTCTCCTACTCCTACAATACTGCTCTTCCCATCAAGTCAACCCACGTCCAATGGAGAAGGCAGAGGAGGGCGTATGGGAGTACAAGCATCTCAAGATGCCATAAGCCCATCTTGAGATGGTCATGATCTCCAATACGCCATAAAAAAGCACATAAAAGTGGACAACTCTGGAAAATACTTGACCCATTGAACAGACTACAGTGAAGTCACATTGTAGTAATCAGATGTGTGGGCACAAGGCTGTACTGTGCTATTTGCAAGGAATTCTAGAAACTCTGCCTTCTTAAGAGAAGGACCTGATTCACTTCCTTCTAGTTAATTTGCCAAAGCACAGCCATGCACAGCTCCTGGTCATTTCGTTTCTTGGGTGGCATTGACTAGGAGCTATGTTAGCTTCAGATACCAATCATTGTCAACCTGATATTGGGAAAAAACAAGCCACACTTCAAAACCTGCCACCTGCTCAACCTGTGGAGCTGCCTGAGTTAGTAGTCAGGTCAGGAGAGGAGTAGCATCCAGCAACTTGTTTAGTAAGAATAAAAGGACAGGATAAGTCCTGATAAGGTGATCCCCAATAATAAAGAAAACAAAGCTAACCTCTGAAACTCTGACTATTCTTTAAGTCTGTCTTGTAGGAAAACATGGAAGAGAAAATGAAGGGAGGAAATAGTACCTCATGTGGGGGTTGGGATGCCTCCTGGGAAAGGTCTTTCTGAAGGAGTCTCTAATCTCTCCCAGAAAGTAGGCACCAGCTCAGGGTTGGGGGAAGAGGAGTCATGGAGAAAATTCCCATCCAAGGACAAATTACTGAGAGAGTAAAGTAAATATCATTTGGAAACTCTTAGAACGAATTTTTAGTTATTCTTTCCTAAGGAGGCTCTTCTCAAGAAAGTACATATGAAGGTCAACCCATTCTTGGGCCCCCTCCCCATGTGTGGAGTTTGTAATAACATATAATAAATTTTCACACTTTGCTTTTAATAAAAGAAAGTACATATTAAAATGGAAAGATCAAGAAACTAAGAATCTGAAGACAAGGGTCCTGGGCTTGGCTCTTTAGCTCAGTAGGTATGTACCCTCAAGCAGGTCACATTCCACACCATGGGCCTCAGTTTCCCCATTGATAAAATAAGGGAGTGGAGCTTCACCAGTTGATCTCAAAGCTCTCTTTCAGATCTTGTGGCCCAATAATAATATTCTCTTCTCAAGAAGCTCAAAATATTTTTATGTCTCTCTCTCTCTCTCTCTCTCTCTCTCTCTCTCTCTCTCTCTCTCGATTCTCCATACCTTATTTTAAACAAATAACTAATAGGAAATTAAAATGACTTGTAGTATGAGGAAAAATATTCCAGAGAGAGCCATCAGGCTCACTGCCCCACAAAATGTAAAGATAGTACATTGCTACAAACTCCATCCCAGTTAGATTTTGATTAGCCATTGGCTACCTGAGTTGCTCTTTACTCCTTCCAGCCATCCGTGGTGCTCACTATCAGGTTTCTCAAAGAAGATGCCATTTGGGGTGGGACAATGCTTCATTGTGCCAGACCATTCCTAGGTTCTGCCCGCACTAAATACCATTAAATATCTCTCTCAGTCAGTGTGACCCTCACCGCACCTACATTCTCAAGTGTCCCTGAGGAAGTGGCCCTAGTTATAAGCAACTGAAAACTTCATCATCAAAGGCTATAGAAAGAAGAGATTGTCACCCTTAAATCATTTGAGCCTCATTGTATCTCAGGAACTTATAGGAAAAGTTGATGGAAAAATAATAATTTGCAGCTCTTGACTAAAATGGGTGTTGCACACATCTAGTTGCAACTGCAATTTCATCTGGCTGAACCATTCTACCACCATCTTCTCCCTACACTTCAACTCAGATAACCTAGAGCCGGGTTTTAGATTCCCGTTTGCTTCTCCCCACCATTCCATCCCCCACCTCCATTCTCTTACCTGGCATAATGTCCTGCAGGACTCTGTGGGCAAGAGAAACACTAAGCAGTACAGCAAAAACGTGTGAGTCATTGTCTTCAACGCAGCTGCCTTTCCCGCTTCTATAAACATAAATGCAAAGGCAAAAGGTTTCCAATCTGAAGCTTTCAAAATCCCTTGCCACTGCAGATCCAGTCAGCCTATCAGACGGGGCTCTGTCCTTAGTGCTGTCTACTCAGAAGCCCCTGCCCCAGAGGTGGCCTCCCCGTGGTTTCCCATCCATTGACTTCACCAGGAGGCTGCGTGTGCGAGTGCCAGCTGGCACTGGGAGGTGCAAGCAGTTGCTGAGATAACTTTCAGCCTCTGCTGCCGGCTTGCATGTGATGCCTCATGTGGGAATTTCTCCAAAGGAAGCAACCTGCCCAGGTGTAATGAACAACTGCCCAGGTTCGGGGAACGGGAGAGATGGCTCACTCTCTGGGTTAGGCAGGGCTGAGAAACATGTGGGTGGCTACGGTGGAACGTGATTTGGAATTCCTATGTGTGGACTCAGCCTAGCAATATATTGTGAAGGAGAGTAAGCACCAGCCTTGGCCTATTATCCTCATTCCCACCTAACCCTGGAGCTGTGTTTCATAGGTGGGTCACAACTTCTTTCTGCCAAAACTGATGTCCAAATGATTCCTTAGCACCTAGAAGAGTGGTGTACACATGGTGGGCACACAATATATTCAATAAAGGAAGAGGAAAGGAGAGCAAGGGGGAAGGTGGTTGGGAAGAGCTGACAATTTGCATCAGGTCTATTCTCTATAGAGGACTCACATAAGCTGAAAATGTCAATTCTAAACTTTAATTATTTTAATATTTTTCATCCTGAGTGAGCTCCTCTTTGAAAGGCATTTGCTGCTTCTTTGCTTTTATTATTATTATTTTTAACCTTCACCAGAGGAGTGAGGATTTTTTTTTTCATTGATTTGTAGAGAGAGTGGAAGGGAGAGGGTGAGGAGAGAAACAGAGGAGAGAGAAACATCAATGCAAACAATGCCATTATTTTAAAGATTTAGGCAAAATGTATTTTTAAAGCATGTCTCTTACATTGAAATACTTGCCTACCTGAAATTCCACAGAAATCTAATGATTATTTGAAATATTTTGTATTATCTGTTTCAGATCATTGTCAGTTTGGGTTTCTGAAGGTCTATAGCTCTTTAAGCAAAAGGATTACTTTGTTGATCATCACTTTTAAAGAATTTAGTACCAACCAAAATGGCCATACAATTTTAAGCAAATTTCAGCCATGTTTGCATCCTTTATTCCAACCTGTCATTCAATGAATGGACTTTCCAGGATACAAATCAATCATCAAATGTGAGTTAGCAGGATCATCACCAAAGCAGTTACTGATTTGGGTAAAATTATCAAAAATTAAAACAACACCAACAACAAAATAAAACAAAGCCTGATGATGAATTTGTTGACACAATTCACATAAAATCTGAGCATGAGTCCATGTTTTTCTGAATTGCATGAACTTTATATTAAAATTCTCATCATACAGAATGTCCTTCCTCTTAGCTAAAACAAATGTTTAAAAATTACTTAAGGAATGATTCAAGACAACAAACTCAGAGTTAGCACTACTCAGCCCAAACTCAATAGATTTTTTTAAGGAGGAGGCATTGAATTATTTTTAAGGTTGACAAATCAAGATGAAAACCATTCTGTTTGCTTAAAATGTTGTATTGAACAAAAATTATGTGCTTATTTTATTGTCATTTTGTTTTAAATTGTAACTATAGTTGAAGTTTTAATTTTTAGTAAAATGCTTTTTGATTATTACTAAAATTATGTGTTTGTGTATGACAAAATAAGCACTTTGTGTTTGATGTGGTAATGACCTTCACTAGGCTGTGTAGAATGGCCTGTTCTGATAGTTATGCTGCTACCTAGGGCTCAGAATTTTCTAACATCTTTTTTACAATCTAGGTTTACCTTCTCATAGAAGAACTGGGACCACAACTTAGAATGCTATATTTCTCCAAGCTTCAGCTATAGTGTGACTCTAATTGTTAGAGCAATTTTAACATTTTTTTCAATTCTTTTAACTAAAAAGAACCTTTTCTAAAGCTGACTCTTTGTACCTTGCTTATAAAACTGATTGCTCTTTAAATAAAATGGCATAGTTTAATCTGAACTTAAATAGAACCATTTTTCTTCCAGATTTGTTCACATTAAGCCTTTCTCACATTCGCTCTTTTTCCAATTCTGTGAAAGCAGAAAGTTTATATGAAACAAAGCCAATTCTGTGAAAGCAGAAAGTTTATATGGAACAAAAGCCTATGGTGGCAAAATAGTAGCACAAATTAAATATTGTGACCACTCCCTCCCCCCACAGGCCCCCAATGCCTTCATCCCCATTTTGATGTGAAAAGCCATAGGCCTTTAATGGTTCAGACCTTCTTCCCCAGTAAGCCCACACCTTTCCAAAATGCAGGGGTAGCTGTAGTTAACTTCCCTCTCAAACAAATGTTTGAATATGTTCGTTTCACGTAGCCCAAACCAAAACATTCATTACAGATATTCACTTTAGAAAAGGCTAATTTAAAAAACATACAACTTGAAAAAATGGTCACCTCAGATGAGTCACAGCAAAAAAAAAAAAGAAGGTAGTATTATATCAGCACTGAAGTTGACAAGTAAATGTGCCAAATACAAAGTGTTGGGATTTTTTTTTAATTGAGTTACACTCCCCTCCTCCCTTATAAAAGTGAAAAGGAACAGCAAAGCATACAACGGCCAGATTGCAAACAGCTCTCTCCAACCATCCAACCTAGAACACATTCTACCATTCTCTGTTGTCTGCTTTTCAAATCTGAAAAAGGTGCTCAAGGTGTTCATTTAGATGTTTCTTCAGCAAAGAGAACATGAGCCCCTCATTTCCAAGCAATGTCCTAACAGCTAGGGATTAAATAAGGATGACTTCTCGGTCTCCTTACCCCCTTGGGAAGTCACAGTGTGATGGGGCTGCTGAAGCACCCCCAGGGGATTGGGAACGTGGATGGGGCTTGCTCCCTAGTGACCTGCAGACCCTAGGAGTCAAAGCTAGTGGAATAGACATGACAAGAAGTATCCCCAAGTTTCAGATTAAAAACAATCATCTTCGGATGCAATTTAATTGGAAGTATTTCTTCCTACTCTTTGTCGAATTCCTTCACCCCAAAGCCATATGGTTGACTGACAGCTGGCACAGCTCATTAGCGAAAGACAAAATGGAGAGAAAGATAATATGTTGTTAATGGACGGGGAGGGCCTCATCTCCCCCGGTTGCTGCTGGGACTAGAATTCTTGCAATATCCTGAGAAAAGGAATTTGCTAAGACTTGCACTGGAGAACGAGTGATTTTTTATTTGTGTGGAATTAAATCCCTGAGTTTCCAAAGTCCCATTTCCCTTCGCCCAATCATAGAGGAAGTGTCGCTGTGGTTTCAGTAAAGCTAAAATCAGAGCCAGTCCGGAGTTTCTTTTCCATGTAGGAGCAGGGGTCCATTCCAGCATCAGGCTAGTTTAGCTTGTGTTTCCAGCTGTACAGTTCATTAGTCCATTGCATGTGGGGTCCGCAAGACCACCTGCTATGGAGGGAGCACAGGCAAATGCAAGGAAGCAGGAGCAAAAGAAACCCATGAGCCAGGGGTATAGAGCAACCAAAGCAACACAATAGAGAATTCTTCCTAGCCAGTTTGGCTCAATGGATAGAGCATCGGCCTGTGGACTGAAGGGTTCCAGGTTCGATTCCAGCCAAGGGCACATGCCTGGATTGCAGGCTCAATCCCCAGTAGGGGGTGTGAAGGAGGCAGCTGATCAATGATTCTCTCTCATCATTGATGTTTCTATCTCTCTTTCTCCATTCCTCTCTGAAATCAATATTGATG